AAAGTACAGTCATAATTGTTTCTTTAACTGTGATATACCCAGCTGTAATCATATGCTTAAAAGATTCAAATATCTTTTAGCATACAACCCTGCAGGCACGTCTGTACTGCCAGAGCACCTCCAAAAACAAGCTGTCCTTGGAAAGACAAGGCCACACTTACCAGTTGTGTGTCAGATGCACATAGTGTTGGACGTGAGGTTAGCCTGTTGCTCTGTATTGCTGTGTTTGTCTAGCGAGTCGCGTCTTTCTCTGAGGCTGGCTCCTGCGGTCTGTGTGAAAGTGAAAAGAACAAAAGAGAGAGAAAAGGGAGAGACGGAGAAGAAGGCAGCATGATTCTTCTGAACATGAGGAAAACCCACGCACCCATAACAAGTGAACATAGCCAAAAATCAAATAGCTGATTTGCGGATGTGCTTAACAAACCATCCGTCATTACATTGACAAGATCTGTAGCGTCTGTTCTAGTAACAATGAGCTCAGTACAGAAACAAATAGGGGACAGTTTAACAGAAGCAACCTTAACAAACACATTTTCAGCAAACATTCTTTCACAGGTGTGACCGTCAGAACACCCGAGCATCTCAACTGCAATACCAAAGAGCTGTTACTACATATTATGTATTATATAACTCAGTTGTCCAGTATTACTTATCCTTATTGCTCACCTGATTCAAAAATACAGTAATCACATTTTATTTACACCTACTTCAACCAATCAGGGACAAGGACAACAAGTCTAGGCCTGCAGGTAAATTATTATGATCATTATTGATTAATCTGCTTAACTAATCAGTTAATCATTTGGTCAATAAAATGTTAGAAAGTAGTGAAATCCTTGATGGCCATGGCAACGTCTTCGAATCGGTTTATTTCAAATAATGGGGCATTTATTTAGTTTACTATCACATGAGACAAAGGAAACAGCAAGAACCAGTTAATTTAGGAAATTATGCTTAAAAAATGACAATTAATTGATGTTCAAAATTGATTTTCTGTCATTCGAAAAATCCATGAAATTGTTAAGTTGTTTCAGCTCTACTTGAGCGTTATATAAATCTGAAACCTGTACTCCAAACTCCACTGGCACTGTCAACAAGAGAGCATGAGCAACCAGTGTGCTGGTTTTTATAACAATCATGAAAAAGTTTTTTTTTATTAATTCACTTATAGGAAAAACTGACTTAAGTACTCAAGATTTACCAGTGTGCATCCACTAAGCCCCACCCTGTTTGCAACTGACTTCATCATGCATCAAATGTAAATCCCATCTTTGAGCCCTGCCACCAGACTTATACAGACTTCACCAGATATGAAATGACATGACCTCCATTAGCCAGTAGGTGTCTCCCTACTCTAAGAGATAAGGTGTGATGACTGTGTAGGACTCTGGCCGGCTGTAGACAAAGTGCTGCTTGCTGGCAGAAAGTAGTTGGCCTTTAGCCATCAGGTAGGGGGCTAAGATCTTGTCATCCCCTCCAGGTTGTTATCATGCTGGATAGCGGGGCAAAGCTCAAAAGCAGAACAAACAGTGGATTAAGATTCCCCCTATCCAAAGTAAACTTTAAACCTTTGCTGACACAAGCCTATACATTCCTTCAAAGATCACATCAGACCAACAAAACACCAGCCTAGAGCTTCACTTGTTGTATAACAGTCCTGCAACGCATGTTTCTACTAGGAATATAGAAGCTCTTTGTACACAAACCTAACAGGGACCATCTTCCCATCCTATAGTCTGTGTGTCATTGTCCCAACTACACACCCTGAGCAGTTCAAACACCCTCTGGCAAACAGCCTGTTTGTGCTCGCCTGCCGTCAATCAGTTTGCCCCCTGAGCTTCCTTGTCAGTCATGATCCCGAGCATCCTGGACTAGTTTACATCTCATTACCTTACAGCTCCTTACGACGCCCACGCCTCCAGCTATGCTACTTCAAAAAAAAAAAAACACAGAGAGAGACAACACCCCCTCCTTCTGAGTCACTGCCCTCCCCATCCAAACCCCCCCTCCCCCCCTGCCTCCCTCCTCGCCTCCCTCCTCCGTCTGCTCTTGGCAACATCCATGCACCTCTAACCAGGGAGCTGTGCTGAAATGTGTTGTGTTTTGGTGACATAATTCCATGTGGTGGAGTCCTCATGCATCGCTCCGTTCAGGTCCAGGGGATGTTTACAGGCCCATACTCATGTCAGCAGTGATAAGGTATAGGTGTGCGCTAGGGAAGGCTGAGAATGTTAGGACGGGCTTACAATGTTTCGGCATCGCTGGGATAAGACTTCAGGAGGACATGACAGGGATTAGAGGCGGAAGCCGAGAATAACAGAGGAAGAGTGACAGAAAGTGGAATGATTCATGTTGGAGCTTGTAGCAGAGGATGTGTCGCTGGTGAAGCTAAATGTGACTCATTACACTGTGTGGCAGGTGCTGTTCAATCAGTCCTCTCCCTCCCTCCATTAGTGTTACCCAACAGCTTGACATCCACATACACAGCAGTTCAAACACAAAGAGGCGCTGGCAGCCTAACAGGCCTTGTTACTGACGGGCACAATGTGAAGGGTTTTTTGTGTGTCGTCATGCACGTGCCGGCGTATTTGTGCATGTGACAACGCATTCCTCATCCCGCACTGACCCTTTACATTCCTGTCTCCAGTGGTCCGGAAAACAGGTCTCCACCACCTCCATTCGGCAGGTCCTCTGTCCTCCTTTACGCTGCTCATCTCCTGTCCTTCCTCTCCTCACCTTAACCTCGTTTTACAGCAGAGGTATCAGTCTTTAAACTGTGGAAGTCTGTTTGTACTCGTGGACGGTAACCATATTTTCCAGGAGGTAAACAAATCAAAGAGCATATACTGCATATGGGAAGAATAATTGCAAGTGAGTTGCAACTGTTTTTATAAGCAATTTTATTGAATTTTCAAGCAGAAAATCTGCTTTTCTTTGTAATCACTAATCAAGCAAATAATTAGCAGATTATTTGATAATGGAAATAACTGTTGCAGTACTAATACTACTACCAATACCATCATAAAAACATTTTAAACAGGTGAGACAGACTAAACACTATCTGCATGGATTAGTAAATTACCAAGGAGCATGGCCAATATTTTTAGGAATATTGATTCCATCCAAAATTGGTATAATATGACTTTATTGGTGGTAATACACCAGTAAAAATGCTTTCCTATTACCTTTGTCTTTACTACAATTGTTCCGGTACCTGTATTAGAAATTCCTCCGATACTACCTAGAATGTGGTATCTGCAAGAACGCCTGTCTGTACAACAATTCGATATAATGTAATTTACACAAAACGGGGTCCTGCTACATCTGAGCACTCTCCCATTAGCCTTTCCCCAGGATAGTTAAATATCAGCCTGCCCTACTCTGACTGAAAAGGTTTAACCAGAGCCAGAGCAATGATGATAATCATACAGGCTCAGTAGTATAGGCTTGTTAAAATATTTAATGTATACCTATTTTGTAATGCACATGTATTGTATCGGCACTTGGTATCGGCCGATACACAGAGTTCAGGTATCGAAATCGGTATCGGTAAGGAAAAAATGTTACCAGAACTCTCACTTCTTGATCAAGATCTGTGACAGCAGCTGTGATGCAAGATGTGTTATGGCACTTTCATCATGTATTATTCTGTGGTAGCCATAACAAAACTGTGGCAGTGCATCACAGATGGCCCTGTAAAGTGGAAACACGGCAAGAACCTGGCATTCAAAGACACAGCGCACCAGACTGCTCCAACACTTAATCTCATCTACTTTTGTATACATGTTTACTCAAATACTTCTTCCATCTCTGTCCCAACACAAGGCACAAGCTACCACAAGAACATACACATACATAAAGGATTAGTGTGCGTTTAGTGTGTGTGGAGGTACAGAATTGTACCTAAAGTGAGATCAGGGCACAAGAGGTGAGACTGCGAATGAAGGATCAGACATGTGACATTTGTGTAACGTTCAGCATTAACAGAGTGCTGTGTGACTGCAACGGCTTTGACAACTTTGCCAGCCCCTGCCTGCAGCACCGCAGGCCTGTCTTTGACACATAGCAGCCCTGCACGCCTCGCTTCTCAATCTGCTCCCACTGTGTGTGAGACCACCACAAATGTCCTTCTACCTTACGCTCCCAGCAAGACTCATACACCTAATTATGAACACAGTACTGGAGTCCTGGCCTTCTCGCTGCACAATCCTTTGATAGAGGAGTAAACATTTTTGCGCCACTTTGCTTTATGATAATAATGAAAACGTACCTTCTCTCTGTCACTGTCTGTATACTGCATGCACTGTACAGGCGCGTGCTCTCTGTCTGCCTAGCAGTGACAGGGTTTTTGATGCATTTGAAAAGCATGCCGCAGATGCACCAAAGTCAGGGAGGCAAAGTAGGTCAGTGTGTTGAGCTGAGCAGTGAGGGATGTGGCAGCCCATTAAGCTGTGCCCTCCTCTGCCTCTCTTTAATACACATAGTGTGAATGCCCTGATTGTGTGTGTACTGTTAGGAGCTGTGGGCCTCCAAAGTCAAAGCTGTTCTTTCAGGCAAATTGTCTTTCATATTGTAGTCGGCCTCATTGTCATGTGAAGGGGAGACACTGCACTGGGCTAAACCTGTAAACAAGTTAGGACTTAACCCACTTTAGCATCGTGTTTTTAAAACATTTCCAAGCAGGATTTTTGTATAAGATATGAAATGTGGGGTTTCTCCAATGATCTATTTTGCCCTGTTTTACAGAAACATACAGAAGAGCCTTCCTTCCAACTTTGGTCATATCTGAGCCTGTTAATCACCACAGAGCTAGCCGGTGGTGTTTCAGTAATGCTATGGCATCGAAGACCAGATCGAGGTTCTCGCTTTCCCTGGGCTCTAGTCAAGCCTTCCGGGGAGAACACTATTGATCTGGAGCTAAGAGGGGCCGGATTGATCACACATACTCTCTAATAACCTGCACGTACTCACAGTAACACAGCATGTGGCTGCATGTCACAGCAGTTCGATGTACACTGCTTTCACTCAGCAGGTTGTCTGTTGAGCAGAGGTTGGTGACACTGCCTGCAGAGGGACAATGGTGGGTGTGCCTGTGTGTGTGTGTGTGTGTGGTGTGTGTGTGTGTGTGTGTTGTTGTGTTTGTGTGTGTGTCGTGTGTGTAGTGTGTGTGTGTGTGTGTGTGTTGCTGTGAAGGGACATGGTCTAAGTGCCCCCTTCCCACACCGGCCACTTAACATGCCGCCTGAATGTTCAGATTCCTTCTGGAAAGG